ACGCTTTCTAGATCCATAGATGGACCTGGCCACACCAGCTTTTTTGTCCAGGAGCTCACGTAAATCGTGTGTTGACTTGTGTGCGGCATCATTGGCTGCCTGTCGCGGCCACGGGGTGGTCAGTCCGGCTGATCGGCCGTATTATTTTTCAGCGGAATGGGCTCTATGGCCTCATCGTCAAATTCGGGCAGCAGCTTGTGCTTTGGATAGCTCTTTGTATGGCGATCGTCGCCGTATTTTTCTTCAATGTCAAGCATTTTGTTCCATCTGCGGTTGAGCGTATCCTGCGGGGCCTTAAGCCTTTGCTTCTGCTTCTTCAAGCTCCTCGCGGTGGAAATAAGCCTTCTATGGAGGTTCTCTTGTTCTAAGTGTTTTTTCGGGATGATGAGTGCATCGTCGTCCGGACTGTTCTCCTCTCCGGAGACAGGTTGGTGAGTTTTACCCTCGGGATCGCCGTCATCGGACATTGGCTCCGGAATATGTTCAACATCCCCTGGCTCATCCTGCTCCATCGCTGGGTCCATGGGGTCGTCGTTTCCTTTGGAGTCGACTGGGGTGCTATTCTTTGTTGTCGCTGTTTTTACTGTGGTGGGATTTAGAGCGGCGCCTACGTCGTCGCTTTGGTTGATGTACAAGGGGATTATCCTTCGTTGCATCCTTCCGTTCCTCGCTGTTGTTTTCTTTGGGTGTATCCACCATGTATATATCATATGATGAGGTGGCTGTCCAGCGCCCCGTGGGTGGTGGTTCATGTTCATCTCCAGCATCGTCGTCCATACCGTCGATGTCTTCGGAGTCGAAGTCAAGCGTGTCGGTTAAGTCATCGACAGTGGCTATTAAGTGGGTGGTGGGTGGGGAACAAATTTCTTTGTCGTCCACTTCCCGCTCCAGCCGGACATAGTCCGGCCAAGTGTCTCCTGACAAGGAGAGAGACCTTAATGAATTTAGCACGTCGCCCAAGGGCGAGTGCTGAAAGATATCCGCGGAGGTAAACTCCATGACCGGTGCCCAATCAGATTCGATAGGCATGGACGCACGTGGTTCGGAGCCTGTGGCCGGAGACGAGTCCGAGGGTCCGATGCCACGGGACTCATAGGAGGTGAGGTCTGTGTCCGGCTCAGTCGCCGATGAATGTGCAGCCTCCGTGGCGGGGTCCATCCACCCGTCCTCGGATGGCATGATCTGTTCCAGATTAGGGGCCGGGGCAGCCACAGGTGCGATCTCCCGAACACCGTCTGATGGCAGATCTAAGTCATGCCAGTCGTGACTGTTCAGCGCTCCTGACATGGGCTCGAATCCGTCGAAGATCAAGTCTCCACGGATGTCAGCAGTGTAGTTCAAGTTTCCAAACCTGACCTGATGGCCAGGGGCGTAGCTATCGATCTGCTCTAGATAGCCAAGCGAGTTGGCCCGCAGTACGAAGCTGCCGAATACGAAGATCTGTCCGGGGAGGAAAACCTCACCCTGGACCGCATCATTGCTGATGATTGAAGGAGCCATCAAGCCTTATCGTGGCGGCACAGTGGAACTCTCAATGGAAGCACCAATGTCGGTGTCAAAACCGGCGGATCTCGGGTAGGGGGTCCCGAAGTGTGCGTCTAAGGCTAATGGTAACAGGAGGCGGTGGACACAATGTTTACCCAGGTTCGGGCCCTCTCGATGGAGGTAATACCCTACTTCCTGCTTGATTGATCTTGATGATATGAGTATTACAAGAGTTGATCTACCACGAGATCGTAGAGGCTAAACCCTAGAAGCTAGCCTATGATTATGATTGTTGTTGTCCTACGGACTAAACCCTCCGATTTATATAGACACCGGAGGGGGCTAGGGTTACACAGAGTCGGTTACAGAGAAGGAGATCTACATATCCGAATTGCCAAGCTTGCCTTCCACGCAAAGGAGAGTCCCATCCGGACACGGGACGAAGTCTTAAATCTTGTATCTTCATAGTCCAACAGTCCGGCCAAGGTATACAGTCCGGCTGTCCGAGGACCCCCTAATCCAGGACTCCCTCAGCAGGGGCGGGTGCTGACGGGAGGCTCCCCTCGGTGCTCTGCGGTGCTGGTTTGGTGGAAGTTTGGTGGAGGTCTGCGGCTCGCCGGTACGGGCTGGTGGTGGTCGAGCATCTCAGGGAGAAATCCTTCTTCCGACCTTTGCCGGAGCTGGCGACGGTGGCGCCTGCCGGCATCGCGCTCTTTCTTGGAAGCGTCGCTGATGTATGGTGCTCCACCCCTCACCCCGCGGCCTTGGCTCCGGAGGGAAACATCTGATCCGTGGGATCAGGCGATGAAGGCGTGTTCATGTCTTCTTCCTCCTTGGGGGCATCGTCTTGTAGCCGGCTACAAACCGGTGGATGGCAGCATCTTCGCCGCGTGGGATGGCGGCATCTTCACCGCGTGGAAGGTCGGGATCTTCGCCGCGTGGTTTGCTAAGGCGGCCGTTTCGGGGGCGCTGATTTCTGTTCGGCAACGATGATGGCGTCAAGAGGACTTTGGGTTGCAGCTCGGGCTTCGGTAGTCGAATCTTCCCGGCGTGTCCGAGGTGCTCTTTAGGGCACGATTGGCACAGGTCCTGCATATTTCCCTTGTGGGGCTCGTCGTCAAAGTCGGAGTTGTCGGTTATTTGCGCGTGTGGCCATCTGTTGGCATGTGCCGGCATTTCATGTCGGTGGCCAGGTTGGCCGGTGGTGCCCATGTTATATGGGTTGGGTTGCATCGGTTTTAACCCGGTTTTCCATCAATTAACCGGGCAATTTCCCACTTCTTCTTAATCAATGAAAATGGCAAATCTTTTGCCTCGTTTAAAAAAAACATTTCTATATTATACTTATTTAGTATTTTAGCTACCGACAGCTTTTTTTAGGACTATCGATAGTTTATTCTATAAACTTGTTCAAATATAGACCTATTTGACTTTTGAAAAATCAAATATGTACTAAGTTGTGAAACGGAGGAAGTGTATGCCAAGAGGCGCGCCCCAGCCTCTAGGACTGATTACAGTTCAGACGTCGTAGCGGATGTCACCACGTTGGCGTGGACACGCAACTTCGGTTTGGCCATGGAGTTGGAGCACCGGATCACCGTCAGCAGCAGCAGCAGCACCCTTGCGCACTCATCGACGAAGGCGACTCAGCTAAAGCTGGTGGACTTCTTCAAGGCAGACAAGTGCCCAGGCCTACCTGTACGTAGGAACATCAATTTCACGCTCAAACTTCCAGGCTGCGAACATCCCTTCCGCCGGTTGTGCATCAACAAATTACACTGCACAGTAACACTAGCCAAACACGGCGGCAGCATGCGTCCGTGTGAAGTTCTATGATCAATCAATTGTTTCGTCTCAGGTGTCCAATGGATATTACTATGGTGCCCATCATTGCTTGCTTCCGAACTGCCGAGAGTTCCGAGCGTCGGAGCATCTACAGCTGGACTTATCAAATCCGGCACCATATACGTTTGTGGACACGTCTGTTGATAATGGTCGGACAACTTGGCTGGATATGAGGGATGCTAGACAGTCCGGATATTTGAGACTGGTTTGAGGCGCCCATGTGGGTCAAATTTTTTGACCGGTCAGTGACAGTCCATCCGCCCGGGCGTTTGAGACTGCTTTGAGGCGTCCGGGGGGGCACACACCTGCCAAGCCCTGCCGGGTCGCTCGATTGCCTCACGATTCATGAAATAGTTGGATCCCACACGAGAATATAGTAAATTTTAAGTTTCAATCGTTGAAACTTACGAGTTTTTAATTGGAACTTGTGATTTTGTAGCTCATTTTTACCAAGTTTCATAGATACGATTATAAGACATTTTTTCTGTTGGACGTACCAAAAAAATCATGATTTTATCAATCGCTCATACTAAGTTTTAGTAGTTAAAATTAAACATTTATTTTTAAAATTTGTCAAAACGTATCAAAATGAATCTTATTTGAAAACCCGCGTCACGAGAAATACAAATATGAAAACAAAACTTAATTTGAATTTTTCACTTAAAAGGTAAAAGTTTAAAAATTGTAAGCCAAAAAAAAAAAGCACATGCGAGAAATTCGCTCCTTTGATTCTACCTCAGGATCGCTGTGCATTCGTTGCATACGTGTCATTTTCTCTTCTCCTATTCTCAGGCCCACGATCCAACAAACTTGTGTGCCGTTCTTAATCGCCAAGCATGCAACTTGTAGCAACATTTTTGTCTAAAAATAAAACTTGTAGCAACATTTAAGGCTACTCTCGATGCACCACCAGACACCAACGTGCTAGTACTAACATCTACTCCCTCTAATTCATATTCCCTCCGTTTCAAAATATAGCGCGCCCACGCTTTTTGAGGTTCAACTTTGACTATAAATTTAACCCACGAGACCGATTGCGATGAGAGCAAAAATTATATAATTAAAAACTTTTTTGAATATGAATACATTGGTATATTTTTTTTCTCTCGGCACAGTTGGTCTCGTTTGTTAAATTTATGATCAAAGTTGAAGCACGGAAACCGATGACACACTATATTTTGAAATGAATGGAGTATTAATTATCTCTGATTTAGTACAATTTTATACTAAATCTATGACAATTATTATGGATTGCAGGGAGTAGTACTGCATCATGGCCTGCCCCCTCTTGATACACCAATATTTGCAAGATAGTTGTATAATAGTAGCTTGTTGGTTGATGATATGGAAATTTTACCAACAACAACAAGACTTTCGTTGAAGGTGACCTGATGATGCATGCCTTTCTCCTTGCAACATGGTCCTCTGTGAGCTCTTCACGTGGCAGTGCGGTGGCCCATCTGGACATGTTTTTTTTCTGGCAAAGCCCACAGGTCGAGTCACTGTAACTAGCAGTACTTTTTTCTATTTTTTATTAAGGAAAACAACCTGTTTGTTTATCATGGGTTGCTTATCACGTGTACCACGTGGTCAACTTGCGGTACTATTGTTTCAGATGTGTGGATCCAAATCGGCGCGAGCAGCACTGACCACCACAGAAACAAGCAAACATGATGAGGCCGCTGCGTCTCGTTCCCGGCCTCCTGCTCCTGCTGCTCTCGCGCCCGGCGCCGGCGCCGGCATCGACGGTGGTCACCCACCTGCCGGGATTCGATGGGCCTCTCCCCTTCTACCTCGAGACCGGGTAACCTCGTATCCGCATATGCATTCGCTGGTGGTTCCATGTTGGATTCTCATGGCGGGAGCTGGAGTTGGCAGGTACGTGGGCGTGGAGGAGGACACCGGGGCGGAGCTCTTCTACTACTTCGTGGAGTCGGAGCGGAGCCCCGGCGCGGACCCGGTGCTCCTGTGGCTCACCGGCGGCCCTCGCTGCTCCGGCTTCAGCGGCCTCGCCTTCGAAGTCGGCCCCGTGAAGTACGTGCTGGCGCCGTACGATGGCGGTTTGCCGCAGCTGGTATACAACCCCTTGTCATGGACCAAGGTGAGTGAGAATGACTGAATGTTCGACGGCCACATTCTTGTGCTGAGTATGTCTCTCCTTCCTCGGTTTTCTTCCTGCTTTACTGACGACGACGACGATGATCAGATGGCAAGCATCGTCTTCTTGGACTCGCCCGTCTGCTCGGGCTTCTCGTACGCGCGCGACCCCGAAGGCTGCGACGTCGGAGACTATTCCTCCTCTCTGCAAGTCCAGAGGTTTCTGATTAAGGTGACGAGAGGCGTTGATCGATTTTTCCACTGTCATGGCAATAATTCAGTAGTACATCGACCGCTCACTGCCTGGTTAATTATGCAGTGGTTCACGGATCACCCGCAGTACCTTTCCAACCCTTTCTACATCGGAGGAGATTCATACGCCGGAAAGGTGGTTCCACTCATCGCGCAATACATTTCAGAAGGTAATGTAGATCTCTCTGCTTGACTGCTTCTTCCTAATAATAACACCACTTTAATGCAATGTAGGAGCACGTACATTCCACAAGGTAGAAGAATACTCCAATTTCCTTTGGATTACAGTACAAATTGTTGGTGCATTGTAGTTGTAGGGTCTCTCTAGCTAATTTCCGTTACACGAGTTTTATTATGAAGCAGTACGGAATGTTCTTCCAAGCAGTATTTCAGAAGCAGATATATTTTCCATTTTTCTTCCTGAGTCACCAAGCCAGCTATCTTTTAACTTGCTTCTACTGATCACTGTTTAAATAGTGCGCTATATGTAGCGGCGCTGTAGCGTTTAGAGAGGTCTTGTGCTAACAGACTTTGGTGCTAGCACATCAAGTAAAGTTTTAAATAGCGCGCTGTAACATTTGGAGAGGTCTGCCCCTAAGAGACATAGTCCGCTATTTAAAACTATGCTTCTACTATATGCTCCAGGAATTGAGGGAAGGCAGCAGCCTGTCATCAATCTCAAGGCAAGCTAATCTCTAGCCTTCAAACTCTTGTTATTTTGCAATGGCAAAATGAGTGCAAAGAATGTGTGTTACCATGATAATGTGGCTCGCTCTTCTCTTGTGTTGATGGACATATTTCCAGGGCTATCTGGTCGGCAACCCTATAACGGACCCAAAGTTCGATGAAAATTTCCAGGTTCCAGCTGCTCATGGCTTTGGGATAATATCTGATCAAATATACGAGGTAACAACTAATCCATTCGCTTTGACAAAAGTGTGCTAACAAATTTTGTACTATGTGTTAGTCTAAAGAATTTGTAGTTTTCCTTTTCTTTCCCCAAGGCTGCAATGCAGCACTGCAAAGGAGATTATGTAAACCCCGTGAATCAAATGTGTGCTGAGGTGCTACAAACTGTAAACAGCGTGAGATTCATGTGCCGACCTTTTTGTTATGAACTTAAGGTATTGCCAACATCAGCTAAAGCACATCTCTGCTGCAGCTCATTTCTGAAATCCTAGATGCGCACATCCTGTACAAAAAATGTGTCTTCTCCGCGCCAAAGCCCATACATGATGCAATGGCTAGAAAGAACTTGTTGGAAGAATCGGTCGAGCTAAATGAGGCTCCTGCTCGACCTGCCATCGATTGTCTTGTCAGTCTTTCATTATCCTTGAAGCGTCAGCTTGATTAGAAGATGTGACAATGTCATATGGTTGTGACACTACTCTCGTATCACAAACTTAGATGGATTTTCTTTCTAAACTGCAGACATACGGTTACTACCTGTCATACTTTTGGATGAACAACAAGATGACTAGAGATGCTCTCGGGATCAAGCAGGTAAAGCTACATCATTTTTTGTCAGGAATATCTTTCACGTATTCACAGAGGGTTAAAACATCCTAAGTGTAGAAGCATTACCATCTAAATCACTTAGAACAGCACTGACAAAAACAAATTTGGCGATAGGGGACGGTTAGTGAGTGGAAAAGATGCAAAAGAGAACTTCCCTACCCATATGACATGCCAAGCAGCATACCATACCATATCAACCTCACCATGAGAGGTTACCGTGCACTCGTGTACAGGTGAGCAAGCGCGACATCAAAATAAGTTTTCTTATCCATAGTGGGTGGTAATCTTCTTTGAGACCTTGTAAATAAAATATTTTGTCTGTGGGAGCACAGCGGAGACCATGATCTTCAGGTGCCTCAGTTGAGCACGCAAGCATGGATAAGGTCTTTGAACTTCTCGATAGTCAATGATTGGAGGGCATGGCATCTCAATGGCCAGGCCGCAGGGTCAAGTCATCTGACTCCTTTTCTTTGCACCTCTTCACATAGAGAACAAAAACTATATGAATAGCATTGTGTATCATGTTCCTCTATCTTTTCTGATGAGCAATACTTTTTTTTCTTTTTGCAGATTTACCATTGCATATGCGAACAATTTGACATTTGCAACAATAAAGGTGATCTTGTTTTTCTCTTTAGATCATGGTTCTTGTCCATGGATTGGATGATAGAACCATTATGTGGAAGATATAATAGAGCCCTTCATCGCTTGTTTGTGTAGGGTGGTGGTCATACTGCTCCAGAGTACCAGCCAGAAGAATGCTTTGCCATGGCCCAACGATGGCTGGCAAATGAGCCACTTTGATGCTTTCATTGTACATTTTTGTCTCTTAGCATAAATCTTTTTTTTATTTTGCTTCTCTCCACATGTAAAGATGGTCTAAATAGTTCCACACCAAAGATTAATCGCCCTCCTAGCATTATCTGCCTTCAAGGTATGATGCCTTCAGAATAGTTGGGATTTAGGAATGGATGACGACAATAGAATTATGGGCTTGTGATGCTGCAGGGAAGCGCCACATGTCCCTGCCAACCCCTGCCACGTCAAGGCCACAGGCTTTAACCCAGGTCTAGCCTAGCATGATTGGCACCCCTTCATCCTGGGATTTTTAAATAGTGGAGTTTTTTCATTTATCGACGTTGTCTGTGTTGTTTCTTTGCCAAAGAGGATAAATAAGACTTCATGGCGGCGATTTGGAATTCTTATAATGATATTTAAAATGATAGGTCGGAGTGATGAAATTCCTTAGAAAATATGCACATCGTATTTTTATGAGGCCAAAGGCTATTATATAATTATATATGCGCATAAATGTCAAGCCCATGATACAAAGGGGGAAACAATACTGAGCATGGTGAAATAGGAGTCCTGATGTCCTTTAAGTGTGGGCCCTCGTGAAGAAACCCACCAACAGTAACTCTGAAGGTAGATACAAAGGACCTTCTCATGCAAATGAAAGTGCATAAAGGAATCATCCTTATCAATATGCTTGGTGTGCTCATGCTTCACAGAGTCGTGTGCAATGCTGATAACTCCAGTATTTTTTTATAAAAGAGGAGTGAAAAACACCAAAATTCTCGAGTAACCACCATAGCTAAGTCACACATGTTTTGATAAAAGCATACCTCATAACTCTTCCCCTACATTCTAATGGAAAACTGCGGTATGTTTGTTCATCTTCTAGACAATGAAAGAACCATCAAGAAAAAAAAAGCAAAAAGTGGTGAGCGGCACCAAGGATCGTTACGCCAAATAGCATCTGAACAGGCATGAGGCTATATAAAATGGAGTGGAAAAATAAAAGACAGTGAGAGAGAGTCCCACAAAGATGTAAGGAGGTGACTTTAGTGAACTTAAGTGGAAGTAGAGACAAACTGATGAGAGCAGCGATATGGCTCATAGAGGCATTTGCTCATATTATCTGGACCATAAGAGCATCTCCAACGGCCGCATAAAAATTTCGCGCCCAATAAAGGTTATAGCGCACCACTTTAGCACTTTTAATGTGCCGGGACCAACATTGCTTTACCAGACGCCCAAAAGCGCGCGTCCAAAAAGCACGCAGTGCAAATTGTGAAGCGCGCGCAATCCGGAGCCCAAAATATGCTGCGCGCGATAGCGTTTTTCAGCGCGCGCGCAAAAACTTTTAGCACTACAGCTTCCGCTGGAGCTGTTCGGCGCCCAAAAAACAAATTTTTAATGCGCGAAGCTTTTTTTGGCGCCTGTTGGAGATGCTCTAAGTAGCAGCACGATGAACTGTGCAGCAGCAGTTAATGTGAATGGGTGCGAGCTGGGGAAATTGGTGCCTTTGCCTGAATACAGTGATAGTACGTATGTATCGTGTGGCGCACTTGGCTCAGGGTGTGACGGCTGGAGGCACGGTCCATATGGACGTTTCGCGTCTGTAACGGTAGTTGCAAAGTGTACCTGGTCCAGAATTTGGCCGGGCTAAAGCTGATTATTTATTTTAGTTGGGAAAAGCTAAGGTTTAGCTGCGCGTATGTTTCGGTGCTGACTTGGAGTGAAATCGGAGACACTAGTAGTTGCCTTTTTTTCCGAGGATACATTAGTTGACTAACGTTGATCCTACTCGGCTAGATGATTGTATTTATTCGCCGAGTCATTTGCTTCGTAACCTTGGTCTAACGAGGCCTTATATATAGCAGTAGTAAGTTTTACATAGTCACCCTGCAAAAAAGAAGTTCTACGTACTCAACGGAACAATTTTCCAAGTACTCCCTACGATCCAACATAATTGGCATTTTGAAAAATTTAGCATAGATTAAGGAGGTGCTGAAATCTCCTTTCTGCCCTTTTGTTTTGGAAGAGTATCAGGTGATACCACCCTTCACATGCTTCCGTGCTCTCAAGTTTGATAAATATTTAAATGCTTAAAAAAATCTTGAATATTTTTTGCAAATGTTCATAGGACATGTGTCTACAAATCTTAGAAGGTTCAAATCCAAATTTGAAAGACACATAGGTAAACTAAAAAGATAAATCCAAATGTGAATAGTGTCATTTTTTGACACTATTCATGTTTTACACAACTAATCCTAGCTTTGCCTTATTTGTTGCTCGACATGTATTTTGAATTTGGATTTTGAATTTTGTCGAAGTTGTACGCACATGCCTTCTGAGCAATCACATGCGGTGATAGTTGGGTGGCAGTTGGACGAGTAAATGTTGTGCGCTGCACACCACCGGCTATCTAACGGCATTGTAGAGGTGGGCCTACAAACTGTTGCAATACAAAGAGAAAACAAAAATACGGAGCATAATACACTAAAACACCCAGATCCCGAGACATGTTAACGCTACAGATAATAAGAGCATACGGAAGTACAACCCATATTGAATTTTCGTATTATTAGTAAGTTCTCCATACTCAGCCAGTCAGCCGAACCATTTTCCGAGAACTCCCCACAATCCATATAATCGGCGTTTTAAAAAATTTAGGATAGATTAAGGATATTCTGAAAGCTCCTTTCTACCTTTCATTTTGGGGAGAGACTCAGGTGATACCACCCTTTGCATACTCCGGTGCTCCTAATAAGTTTGAAAAATATTTAAATGTTTAAAATATCTTGAAAAAAATTGTGTATGCTCACAGGTCATGTGTCTACAAACCTTAAATAATTCAAATCCAAATTTGAAACACATATATAGAGAAACTGAAATAATAGATCAAGATGTGAATAGTGTCGAATTTTTGACACTATTCATATCTTTACCCTTTTTTGCGGTGAAAAAACACAATTCATCATAGATTTGTCTTTTTTGCTGCTCTATGTGTATTTTGAATTTGGATTTGAGTTTTGTAGAAGTTGTACACACATGCCTTTTGAACATTAAAAAATCAGGAATTTTTTGGAACATTTTAAATGCGAGTTTAAAATTTTGGGAGCATATGAAGAGTAGTATCACCTACCGGGTGGCATGTCCGGTTTGCAATCTTAACCCATGAAATTGATAATTGTGAAGAGTAGTATCACCTAATATTTTCCTTCCGTTTTGCTGCTACTAACAGAACATGCAACCAAATGGACCGCAAAATGGGATCAAGCAATCAGAAATGCCACAGTGTTCAGAGGTGAGAGGGCAAGTTTCAACAAATGGAGAGGAGCTTTCAAGCATGACATTACTCTGATGCAGCATCGAATCAAATCTGGATACAAGGATGAGTTACTCAAGTGGATCTCTTTCTTGCCACCTTAAGTTTTCGCCTTTTATTTTATTTTGTTTTTCTCCTTTCCTTTCGGTTACCTCTTGTAATCATGTTGTTGTAACTGTTGTCTGGCTTTAATAAAGTTTTGATATGCTGTGGGGGTTTTCCCCACAGTTCACAGTAAAAAAAAAATGGGATCAAGCACGTGGATAACCGTAGAAAGCATATCCGGTGCTCAACCATTGCTCCAGGATAACATGTACTTAAAATAAAATAAAAAACATATCATTAACAGGGCTCGTGACATCCAGTTGGAGTACATAGCAAAGTGATTTTTTTGCGAGGGCATAACAAAGGGATTTAAGAGCACTAACCATCTGACATACGTGCAGTGGTAATCAGGTGGCAGTTGGACCAGTAAATGCCGTGCGCTGCACATTACCAGAATGGCACCTAGACTGTACAGAAAATACATCCATCTGTACCACCGGCTATCTAACATCAGCATACGAAATGAATGCACTGCAGTGGTGGGCCTATGAACTGTAGCAATATGAATGCACTGCAGTGGTGGGCCTATGAACTGTAGCAATATGACGAGAAAATAAAAATACGAACTGCAATACACTGCAGCACCTAGATCCCAAGACATGTCAATGCTTGAGATAATGTGAGCATATGGATGTATGACCCATATTGAATTCTCGCAAACTGATTCATAATGAGAATACAATATGAGATAGCTGGATCGTGACATCAAGATAGACAAGACTCACAACGCAGTGATGATATTATTGAATAAGATAGAGGTTCACAATCAGAAGTGCAAAGGAGAACACATAGTTCCATTGGAGTCTCAATGGTGTGCTCATCAGTAAGAGCAAGAAGATCATGAAGGTATTTCTCTTGGGAAATAAAGAAGGCATTTGGTGAAGAAACCTCAATCCCAAGAAAGTACTGAAGAGGACCAAGATCAAACAGAAAAAACAACTCACTATACAACCCTTCACAAAGTGAATGTACTTAGAGTTGCCACCTACATAGAGTAGTAGAAGATGAAGAGTCCTGCCATAAGATGAATGATGGAAAAAAATCATTGGATCATGATCACTTGCCAAAAATCTACAACTCAAGTGAGGTGGAAGATATCGTAGAAGTGGCGGAGAAGCAATTGGTGTTTATCCCAGCCAACTCTAGTGCACAATAGAGCTATGAACGATTCCCTGTTAAGCTACGTCAATTTCTATGTACTGACCGATGCCAAATTCTTTTAGTGCTCGAGAAATTCAGAATCGCCATGGGCACCAAGTACTATTCGTGCGAGGGAGAAATTTGAAAGTACTGCTCACAGAGCATCTTCTAGAGTTAGGGGTTCTCGACTGTGAAGACAGGGAAGGTCATCGGTGGTGGTGGCTGATGTCGGATTTCGGGTTCCGGCAGACCCTTGAGGTTCGAACACTGGGGTGCGCACGAAGATCTCTCCCCTACCAGCTCACGTGTCGAAGTCTCGCAAAGATCTAAGCAAGAAAGATGGACACACAAGGGACACGAGGTTTATACTGGTTCAGGTCACCATTGTGGTGTAATACCCTACTCCAGTGTGTGGTGTGGTGGATTGCCTCAGAGGCTGATAATG